TTGGAGACCGGGTCTCAAAAAAAGTGCCTGGCACAGAGCATATGATCTGCGCCCTCAGGATCGCATCACGGCAGGGGATGCGCGGCAATGCCAAATTTCGGCAACTTTCAATAACACAACAACATATTAGCTAATTATTTTTTTCGAATTTGGGCGGTTCGAGGGCTTTTTGAAGTTTTATACGTGTCTTCCTGCTTTTTGAAGTGAGTATTCGAGCACACAAGGATTACAAGAAAATCTTCAATTTTCTGCAAATCCAGTGAAAAAAAGGGGGGCCACATAAATAAGATTACGCTGCTGTGACCGGAATAAATCGAGCAAGGAAGGCTTTTTAATAACAATTTTTCCTTTTTTTCATTATTTTTGACAAAAAAATTTCAAAAAGCTGAATTTCCTAATCCCAAAAATTGCCGGCAACTCAAAAACCGGCAATTTCGGCAATCCGGCATTGCCGCACATCCCTGCTTCACTAAGCGTTCCGCGCACAGCTCTGCATTAGAGTTCTCAAAACCGAACGTTCAAAAAATGACCGTTTGAAAAAAATGAACTTTTTCATTTTTCGATAGTTTAGGATATATCATTTTCAAACGTTCAACCAAAAAGTTCGAAAAATCGTTTTCTTATAATAATGAACGTTTGCTTTTTCACATAAAAAAACGGATGTTCGTTTTTTTGAACGAACTTTTTGAAATGGAAAACGAACGTTCGTTTTTTTGAACGAACTTTTTCACGAGCGGAAAAATGAACGTTCACTTTTTGAACGAACTTTTCACGAGCGAAAAAAATGAACGTTCATTTTTTTGAACGAACTTTTTTTGAAATGGAAAAATGAACGTTCTATTTTTTTAAACGAACTTTTTTTGAAAAATGAAAAAGTGTTATATTTTGCTAGACAACGTAGTTGTTGAAGTAAAAATATTTATTATATCCTAATACGTAGAAACGATCACATAGCTTATAGCTGTTTGCCCTTATGGTCTGAACTTTAAATTCGGCGTATACGTGATCTATCAGATCGCGTGAGCCGATTTCACGAGCTTTGCGTAGTGAGACTCATTCCCAGCTGTTCAAAGCTCTTCGTTCCTTACGCGTACTCTTTACCAGATATACTTAATGAACTAGCCGGGCTCCCGTCACCTTGGTAAACCATTGTGGTTTGCCTGTCTAGCGCAAGGAGATGTTTTCAAACTTTTCTCATTTATGAGAATTTTTGAAAGTGCGCCTGCCCACTTTTTCTCTCGTGGTGTGACCGGTACTGTATCCCTTTTCCTTGAGCCTTGAGCCTTTGTTCCTGGCGTTCAACTCTTAGAACCCATTTCGAACGATTTCAATGGCAATTTAATGCCTGCTCCAAGCCGATGTATGGCTGAGGATCGCTCGAGCTGACCCACTTCTAAGCCTCAATGTCTGGGCGGGATCAAGTGAGCCTTTTAAGCTGTATCTTTCGAAGGTCACTGGGTGGGATATCTGATCGTTTCTACGTATTAGGATATAATAAATATTTTTACTTCAACAACTACGTTGTCTAGCAAAATATAACATTATATTCCAAATACTACGAAACGATCACATACAGTACCGCTCAAAAAGTCTATTAAGTTTTTGGTTTTTTTGGGGATAAATGAAATGCGATATCGATTCAAATTTTTTCATAGTTTTTCTGAGAGAGACATACGTGTTCTGGCAAAAATTTCAAGTTGCTAGCTCAAAGAATAATAATTTTTTTCGAGAAAAAAACGAATTTTCGAAAAAAATCGAATTTTTGCTATTTTCAATTAAAAAAATCATAGCTCAACAAAAATTTTTTTATCAACACAAAACATTGTTAAAAACAATATTCGGGACCTAGTACTTGGTTGCGAAGCCCCTGGCGTCAATCACTGCCTGGCATCTTCTCTGCATAGAATTGAGCAAAGTGTCGATGGTAGACATGGGGATCTGATTCCATTCAGACAGCAGTTGAGCAAACTTCTCGTTGCAATTCTTGGCTCTTTTTGTTGGCACAACGTCGCTCCAACTCTTCCCAGAGATGTTCGATCGGGTTCAGGTCCGGAGATTGACTTGGCCACCCCATGACATTGACGCGACGGCTCTTGAACCAGTCCTGAGTTTCAAAACCATACGAATTACTTGTCAATTTTTCTCACCTTGACGAACAGTGAAGTGTGCTTGGGATCGTTATCCTGTTGATAAACACTCCCACGGCCCATGGCTCTCAAGTGCGGCAACATCTGGTTCTGGAGAATGTCTTTGTAGACGTGCTTGTCCATGATGCCGTTCACGCGATGAAGCGGTCCGATGCCACTTCCAGAGAAGGCGCCCCACACCATGCAAGAACCTCCACCATGTTTCACGGTGGGTAATTGGTATTTCGGATGATATCTGGACCCAATTGGTCTACGAACCCACTGAATTCCGTCACTCCCGAAGAGGAGGAACTTGCTTTCGTCGGACCACAGAATCTTGTTCCAGTCTTGACGGGTCCAGTTGTGATGCTCCTTCGTCCACTTCACCCTGGCGGCTCGATTCTTTTCAGAAATCAGCGGTTTCTTCACTGGACGTCTTCCCATGATTCCAGAAGCATTTAGACGTCGTTCCACGGTCGAGACGGATGGCGGAGATGGCGAATTCAAGAAAACTTCCCGTCTGATCGCAGGGGCGGTGAGTCTTGGATTGGTTCTAGACGTCTTCAAAATGTTCCTATCGTCATTACGATCAGTGACACGTGGTCTTCCAATGCGTTGGCTGTTAGTAGAGCCATCTTGAGCTTTCTGACGCTTTAGGAACTGAGAAATGCCCGCCTCTGTCACGCCGAACATTACTGCCAACGTCATCATGGTCAGTCCATTTTGACGACCCACAACGATGGCTCTTTTGTCGTTATCAGTCAAATTCTTATTTCCAAAGGTTCTTCCCATGTCTAAAAAAACATGAAAAAAATCATATGGCAACATTATTAATTTTAAAAAAATTTAATAAAAAAATAAATAAAAAAATAAAAAGCATAAAAAAACAAAAAAATGGAATTCAATAAAAAAATGCCTAAAAACGCGTCACAGTCATTGCGGACATGTCTTTGTATACCGTATATGTTTCAAAGTATATTTTACATTATCCCTGAAAGTTATATATAAATCGGATAAGTACTCGCTGAGATATCCCCAAAAAAACCAAAAACTTAATAGACTTTTTGAGCGGTACTGTAGCTAGTTTAAAAGCAACATTGAGGCTGTGGCTCTTAAAGCTTCGACAGATGTGCTCGCGAGCATCGATCGGACCGAGGATTTATCCACCATTGAAGATCTTGTTTAGAAAAACCCTTCCTTGTCGCGATTCTCATCTCCATGGTTCGGAGATCATCCGTCAGTACTAGCTATCGACGTGTATAAAAGCCTTTTACTGGCTTATCCGCTTATACCCTCTGCCTCGAGCAACGTACATGTGTATTTGTTGATGAGTCCTGTCTTTGGACTCGTTGGGTATGTACTGCGGAAATGTTCCTTCTCCATGAGAACTGCTCCTGGTTAAGCAGAAATTGTACGTTTTCGAGACCAGTGATTTTAGGTAAAGCTTTTTCTCTTCTTTGAACCTTTTCGTTCGGAGATTGCCTTCAGTTGTATACCTCCAACTTTTACCTAACTTCCATTTCTGAAGCTGGCAGCGACTCAACCCTCTTCTTTGGTCATGAGGTGGTCTAGCTTCCTTGGAATGGCTCCCACGATCCTTCACGCCTTTCTAGCGTATACAGCATCATCGCTCCTTTTCCTGGAAGCTGCTGATTTCGATACCTCATTCAACCCATGAACCACCCAATGGTTCGGATTCCGGGGAATATACAATTTGATGCAAATTGTTGGGTTTCGGAAGATCTTTGGAACTTTTAACACTGTCTCTCTGCCAGAGTGGACTACGACCCGCTCTCTCCGCATGTATTATGCCACGTCGCGATGATCATTACTTATTCATCGTGGAGAGCTGGTGATCCGAATCAGATCCGAGCGTAAGTTTGCGCATTTTGACTCTTTCTACCTAATGAGTAGATCCTCATTATTTTAGGTAGGCAAACTTGTTTCTCAAGGCATCTTCATACTGTCTGTCAGTATTCTGGCCTGTGCACTCTCGGAACTCTGATTGTTCTCTGCTAACCTCTTCTTGTCCAGATCGCTGATACGTCAGCTATACTTGTGAGCTCAAGCTTTCCTGGCTTATGTAGATAAGGCTGAGGCTGTCTCCTTCCGTTGACTAACTTCAACATTTGCGGAGAAAAAGGGGACATACCGAACCTTCATTTACTCCTGTAATGCAGTAACCGGTTGGTCTAGCCATCTATGAGTGATTGAGATCGATCTCCTGGCTTCATCCCTGGACGTCTCTATGAGCGTCTGTGTCACCTCATCAGTGATGAGGTAACTTTGGCATGCTAGATCTATTCCGACTTGACGTCTTTGAATCTTGCCGAAGGATCAAGTTCCAACTGTGCTAGTTGTTCTTTGATCCAGTTCCCCGAAGCCTCCATTTCTAGTCGGCTGAGTGGAACAGCTCTCTTGTACAGCTCTTTTCCCTTTCATTTTCCTTCCATGAGTTTTAGGTTATTGCTTGCTTGCATACAGAGTTGAGCCACAGTTCCTTTCTCATAGCCTGGTTTCCAGATTTTTGGACCTGAAAGTCCAACACCTTTCGTTCCTGAGGGCGATTGTCTATCATTGACAGATTGAGCCTCCTCGTGAACCGGGTGAATTCGCTTTGTAGGAACTGGAATGTCAGGACTGCGGCTCAGATCCTTCATATGAAAGTGATAATTTTCTTCGCTGTGTAGCGGCCTCTCGAATCGCTTTTCCGTCTACCTCTCCAATGCCAAGCATCGAATCAGGCTTGAATGACGGTGATCTGAGGTATCACTATCGATCTGATTGGCAAGATGTCGAACTGTTGACTAGCCATGGACGAGAATCACTTCTCTACTGGCGGTCGGCTTTCAAGGCCTTTTATCATTGATCTCAATGATTGTCTATGAAATCCACCGTTCTGTGATCCAGAACCCTTATAGCTCGGATTCCTTTACAGTTCGTCGACATGAGCTCATGGAAGATGTCGAAAGCAACTCGACTCTTCTATGTTTGAACCCTCACTCGTTTGGTGAAACAGGTTCTTTTTCCCCGATGATCTCCCAGCATGAGATTGTGAACACTCGTGATAATCGAGAAACCATCAGGGTTCGTGCTCGGGTCAAATAGTTGACCAGGACGGAGGGTAACTCATTCTTCCTCTAATGGCTCGGGAGCTTTAGTCTTAGCGTTTGCCCGGCCTCGTGAATAGGCGTTCACGATGCTGAACTTTGGGAGTCCTTTGCTTTGGGACATTTCATCTGTCCCAAAAGGATAATGGATCTCCTTCTGGCCAGGAGTTCATTGTAATGCCAATTTAATCGATAGAAGACGGGAATCGACCGCGATTTCGTTGAATATTCAATCGGAACTAACTTGTTCCCTATCGAGACGTTTGAGATCTGTCAGTGGTGATGTACCGACTGACGTTCAGGGAAAAGGTCTTTCCCTCCGTCCTGAACTTCAATATCTCGGAATAGTTCGATCCAATCTATTCTATGTTGGCTTTATTTCAACAATTAGGAAAATTTTTTCCTCTTGGCGAGGTCGAGTGCTCGAAGCTTTCTCGTGCGTCGCGACTTTGCTTTAGTGCGATTTCCTGTCAACACGCTCCGTTTCTCTTGTTCGAGAAAAAATCCCTTCTTATGGATCGTATCGAAATGATTGACTTCTCTGAGGTTTTTCGCTCCTATCTTCTAATGAAGAACGTTTAGAAAAACAAACGGAGCTTTCAGAAATTCGATAGATATCGTCTTTTCTTCCTGCTCTAGGAACTGGCAAAGTAGCTTCTCTTTCCGCTACTGTGTTCGCCAGGTTCAAGGAATCTGTCGTCTTTGACGACGAACCGCGTCGTGATTCTCTCGGTTATAGAGTTTATGCCACACTCTCCTCTATGCTTCATTTTGGATCATCTCCAAATCGACTAAAATCAGTCGACATCATCCTTCTGTTCAGGAACTAGAGATACCGCTCTCTTTGTTGCGAGCGTGTATGTACCCCTGGAGTTGGCAGCCCAGTTATGAACCTGGCTTATCATCAGCATATCTTTCTGCTTTTCAGCATACCTCTGTGCTTCATTGCAGATAATTCTGCCTTGTATGTTATCCTCTTTCCTCATGGAATTTGGGTTCTGATGACCGCTTCTCACTCAGCGAGGATCGCAATGAAACTCCTCTGACGCCTTCTCTTCTCCGAGAAGTACTACACCGTCAGACAGAATCATGTTTCCAGAAATTTCAGCTTCTGGGGCACTATGATCAAAAATGCGTAGAATCTTTGCGGATTTATGGATTGAATAATCTGCATTCTTTCATAAGATTCTAGTCGAACCCTGGTTTCTCAAGGTGACATGCATCTGGCTAGTTCAGGATTGCACTTCCTGTTCGCCAATCGCCTCGTGTCTGATATAGGCATAACCAACGGCTTCAGTTTGTTACTGGAAACCTCAACTGGTTTTCCTCAGGTTGACAAATTTCTTTGTCCTTGCCTGATTCGTTCGCGAGGACCCGGGTCTCGACAAAATTTACTTCGGAGTTCCAGAATTGGTCCTATTTGGGATCAACAGTTTCTTGTTGCTCTGATCCGGGTAGTGACTCTGACTGTCAGTGAGACCCCGGACCTTGGTTCCTTCACGGATCCACTTTCGCTTAATTTACGGATATCTGTCTCCGTTGGTTTAAGCGCGGTCCCTGTGGGTTGTGTATCACAGGGGCCTCAGACCTCGGTTCCATGTTGGATCCGATTTTTGGTTCGAACCAGGTGAACGAGATCTCCTGGTTCTCACCAGGATCCTGTCTGACTCCGACAGGACCCCGACCGATCTGTAGCACAGGGCCTCAGACCTCGGTTCCATGCTGGATCCGATTTTCGGTTCGAACCAGGTGAACGAGATCTCCTGGTTCTCACCAGGATCCTGTCTGACTCCGACAGGACCCCGACCGATCTGATGATCAGTCGCGTCGACCGAAGAGCTTTGAACAGCTGGGAATGAGTCTCACTACGCAAAGCTCGTGAGATCGGCTCACGCGATCTGGGCAAACTCACGCGATCAAGGGCAAACAGCTATAAGCTATGTGATCGTTTCGTAGTATTTGGAATATAATGAACGTTCATTTTTGAACGAACTTTTTGAAAATGAAAAAAATGAACGTTCTTTTTGAACGAACTTTTTTTGAAATGGAAAAATGAACGTTCTTTTTTTGAACGAACTTTTTGAAAAATGAAAAAAATGAACGTTCATTTTTTTAAAACGAACTTTTAACAAGCGGAAAAATGAACGTTCATTTTTTTAAACGAATTTTTTTGAAAAATGAAAAAAAGGAACGTTCATTTTTTGAACGAACTTTTTGAAATGGAAAATGAACGTTCATTTTTCAAACGAACTTTCTACGAACGAAAAGTGAACGTTCATTTTTGAACGAACTTTTTGAAAATGAGAAGTAAACGTTCATTCATTTTTTGAACAAACTCGCGATCGAGAATGAACGTTCATTTTGAACGTACTTTCAAATTTCCAGCGAATATCCTTATAATTACGACATGGAACATGATATATTGATTGTTCGTTATAGCTGATACACGGCTGGCTTGAGCCATCGCGAAAAAGGGTCTTGCCACGAAAAGAGACGAGACAGTGCCCTAGTTGGTGGGGAGTGCAGACATGCCACGCCTTTTTGCGTCCCAAGTTAGCCGTGAATCATCTATAAATCGCAAACCGCTACTCCCTGACGTCACTATGACATCATTCGAAACACAAGAAATAAGCGTAATCGAAATATTTGGTTATATATTCATTTTTATTTACGTGAAAAAAAGTTGAAGAATGGGAAGAGCCTGAAATAATATGAAAAATTTTTTTCGAGTCGAATCTAATTTTATAAATTTAAAAACGTAAAAAAATAAATCGAATGATATGGCTGCGTGTGCGAATCGCCAAGTCAAGATGACGTCATAGGGATGATGTCAGGGAGTAGCGGTTTGCGATTTAACTCGAAATGAATTATTGGCAGAGGAAGACACTCAGGAGAAAAACGGCAGACCGTTTTCTGTTGAAATAAGCATGCCAGCGCGCAGATCCTCGACAGTGTGGAGAGCGGGGAGAGTACGAGCCTGGTCACTCCAAGTTTACCATTCTCTCTAAACGGATGTATGCGCGCTGGCATGCCGTTTGTTTTTTGACATTCGTGCTGGCACGCATGTTTGAGACAGTACCACGGCGGCCGGTGGCCGGTCAATATTGCGCAGTCAGTTTCGGAGCGGTCGTTACGTTACCTCCTGATGTTCTACGAGCGAAATTCACAACTTCTCTGCCTAAGCCACAGCTCCTGCCGCCGTTTAAATCAATGAAAGTCGATTTCACATGTACTCTTACATTGAAGATGCAATAAACAGTTTTTAAAAAACAGTTTCGGAGCCAGGAAACTTTTTAATTTTTATTTCTTTTTGCAATTTAGAAAAATGGAGTTTTCCGAAAGAAAAAAACGAACTTTTTGAACGAACTTTTTCGAACAGAAAAATGAACGTTCACATGAAAAAACGAACGTTCGTTTTTGAACGAATTTTTTTACGAACGAAAAAAATGAACGTTCATTTTTTGAACGAACTTTTTGAAAATGAAAAATGAACGTTCTTTTTGAACGAACTTTTTTTGAAAATGGAAAAATGAACGTTCTTTTTTTGAACGAACTTTTTTACGAACGGAAAATGAACGTTCATTTTGGATGAACGTTCAAAAGCAAACTTTAACCAAAAGTTTGGTTTCAACATTTGTTCGAAAATGTTTGGTCGAACGTTTGGTTTTGAGAACTCTACTCTGCATAGTTGTCTCTGAAATTTCGGTTATGAAAAAATTAATTTTGTCTAAAAGCTTATCAACGCTTGGAAACAGGAAAAAAAAATTGAAAAGCTGTTCATGAATCTTTCGTGCCGCTTTCAGTGATTCCGAAAAAATTCTCGTCATAATTTTGAAACTAGGGCCTTATGAGTTAAGTCATTTTTACATTCGTCTTGTAAATTTCTATACATTTGCTCACATAGTTTTTGATTGTCAGGGTGGAGATCCCACAAAGTGGCCGCCAAAAAAAATGTGTGTTGGTAGCCAGTGTATGGGATCTTCATCCTTCCAGTGGACAAGCATTCCAGCAAATTCATAGAACATTCCAAAGCAAACGTTAATAAGACCTCTCTTGTTAGATTCCCTTCAGCAGCAAGTTTACCAATCTCCGGAACTTGGCGTAAATCACTCTGAGAGCGGCATCAAACATTCCACATAAAGCTCAAAATTTACTGACGGGTTCATCAGAATTCAATTCATGAATTCTGACAAACTTCGAATACATACAAGATAGATATATCGCTTCCAGCACAGTTTCCGTATGTGGAAACACATAACCCTCAGAAGCATTATAAAAGAATGTTAGACAACTTCCTAACATTTATGAAACAATAAAATAAAAAAACTAATAAATACGTCCATCGCGAAATGAAATTTGAAATAAACAATTCGCGGGCAACCGTCTTTACGTATCGGTGCATGCACTAAACACGTCCTAATTGACGGAGAAAAAAATGGGCGGGGCGTCGCAAAAGAAACACCGTGATCATGAAATCGCAAATTATAAAAATTTAAAAACATTTTTGAGTATGCGATAGTGCGTCTCGGTGTGCTTACACCCTAAGCATCATAATTTACGAAAAGTCTTGACCTTGCGTAATCACTAAGAATAACTGACGAGATAAACGCGAGGTCGGTGGCGGTACATTGACGAACTCGCAAACATCTCGCTTTTTTCTAGGCGCGCTCTCGCATTTCTCTCGGCGCGACCTCGCATTTTTCTTGGCGCCATCTCGCATTTATCTCGCATTTCGGAAATTTTCAAATTGCGAGAGAAATGCGAGCTCGCGCCTAGAAAAATGCGAGCTCGCGCCCAGAAAAATGCGAGACCGGCGCGAGAAAAAAAGCGAGATGTTTGCGAGCTCGTCAATGTACCGCCAGTGTCTCGCGTTTATCTCGGCAGTTATTCTTAGTGATGAAAAAAACACCGTGAGAACACGGCGTTCTGCGTAGTGGGAGAAAATGTAAAATTATTGAAAATGTGGAGCTGCTTGGAAGGGTTGCTCCACCTAGATTTACGGTAGACAGCTTGCGCGCGAACATTTGAATTTCTTGTTGCTCAAGTGCTTCACGTGATTTTTCATGTTTATTTCAGCTGTATCTTTATCTGTTTTGTACTGATTTACGGTAATTATTTTTTATTGCGACAGCAAAATGCGAAGGAACTTTTTTTTTCAATTTTCAATATTAACTGCTGTGTTTTGACCAAATTTTCCCTTTAAAGCAAAAAAAAAAGCCTTTCAGCAACATTTTCAGTGTCAAATTAAATTTTTTATTCGAATCAATCAAACTCTTCATTTTCGCAACATCAGAATGGTATGGCGATGTTGCAGAGGAGAAAAAATACCACTAGGTGGATGAACTAAACTAGATCTGTAAAGAAAAACTTTTTTTAAAAATTTTTCAATAAGTCGGGAAAGACACATAGAACCACAATAAGTCATTTTTCGGCACAAAATTCCACGTTTTTTTCACTCAAAAAGGACTTTAACCAATTTTTGAATATGAAAGGTGTGAAAGTGTTCAGAAAAATAAGAAAAAAACTTTGTGGCGCCATAAGTAGAGCTTGAGGGGCGATGATCGTCGAAACGATGCTCACAATCAAAAGGACCACTATCACTGCACAGGCGATGTACAGCAGCGTGTCTGTGAAGAAAAAGCCCAGATAACTCTTCTCAATTTGGTCGATAATTCAAAGAACTCAATGATGTACACATATTATAAAAATGACATCTGAAAAAAAGGCTAGGTTCAACATTTTTCTCACCGCAAAAAAATCTCTACAATTTACATCCTTTAATACCCATTATGTTCACTGAATTTATTTTTTCAAAAATATATTAATCATTTTTTTCAAAAGCGTCTAGTCTATCTTTCAATCACTAAAATTCAGTTTTTCGTTACTTTTTTCCTTAAACTCACTGTTGCTAGAGCACTTCTCCTTCTCGGCATCTATCTTCTGCGTGCACAATTGGGAGATCACCGCGGCAGAAGAGTTCGATCTAGGGACTCCTGCTCGCTGGGTCGCGCCAAGAACCGTCGGCTGAGTAGTCGTCAATGACTTGCAGGCTTCAAGGGTCTGGAAAAAAGTCATACTTTCTGTAAACACTTTTTGGTTTAGATATCGATTCATGTCCTTAAAAAAGTTTGCTAGGATGTCCAAAGAGTCATTCAAGAGCTTTCCACTCTTGAATCTTCATGAAAATATTTTTCTGTGCGCCTATAAAAAGAAACATTTTTGAAAATGAAGCTAGAAAACGTCATATTCAAGTGCTTCAAAAAGAATTGTGTTGTTTTGTTTTAATTTTTTTCTCTCCTAGAAAAACTTAAGTCGAGCCTTTGAAAACACTGTGAGATATTTAATTTCTCATCATTCTTTCAAAGAAAAATCGTACCTTATTTCCCACTCTGTGCAGTCGGTCGACTATATCTTGAGGGATACTTCCTACAATCTTGATCAAGTCGGTAGTGCCGTCGCAGTAAATAGAGACGTCATCGACTTCGATTTTTTCCAAATTAATGAAAGATTCTGAGCCCAAAGTGCTGTTAATCAGTGACAAAGCTGGACCTGAAAACAGAAGAAGCTATTAAAAAATAAAAATTTTGAAATTTCATGGAACGACACTCCGCTGTTTCGATTTGTGCGATAGCGCGCTTTTTGCGAATTCGCCAACCTCGGCCACGCTAATTTTTTTTTTTTGGTTTTCATTCTATTTTTGATCGTTTTTTAATTATTTTATTCCGTTAAAATGTATTATTACCGTTGAGAAGGATTGTGTTGTACAAATGTAAACGAAAGAACACAGTAAATTTCATGATCTTTCTCGAAAAAAAGCGATAGAAAAAAATTTAAAAAAACTTCATGTATTCGTCAATCGCTTTAATATTGTTTTTTTCTCGTTTCTCAAAAAAAGTTTTCAAAGATTTACCAAAAAAAGATTTGCGGGTGAAATAGGCCGTAAACACCACAATATTCTACAAAAGTTTCTGTGTTTTTTTTAAATGTTTTCATGGTTTTTTTTTCTGTTTGCAGTGGTTAATGGATTTTTTCCAGAAAGTGAGTGTCTTATAAAAATGAAGACGTGAACTTCCATGAGCACAATGAAATAGAGAGATCGGTTTCAGTCAACATAAGGTTAAATCAACTCCTTTATTTTTGTTCTTTCACTTTTTATTGCCGTTGGACATGATTTTATTGAGGGAATCTGGACGAGATTTCAAAGGTTGGCAAGGAAGGAAGAAGCTTATCCATAGGGATCTAAGACGAGGTTAGTTTTTCATATCCCACTGACATCGAAATTGCAGAGTAACGTTTGGTTTTAAAGACGCGATATTTTCAACTTCACAAGTCTTTGCGGCGTTTTGTGGAAAAAAAATTTTCATCGAGGTTAAATATCATTCACTGTTCTCTTGCTAATGCTTTTTGATAATTTCAACCGACAAGAATACAAGAATTTGCAGAAAATGCTCAATATGAAGAGATTATTGCCTTTTCGAGCTTTGCAATGGAACATAATTTGAAGAAAGGTTTTGGTTCCTTTTTTTTAGATGGAGCTTTAGATAATGCGTCAGAAATGAGGCGTGAACAGTGGGCACTTGGAACAGTGGAAACGATGTGCTGAACGAAAAAGTCCAGAAAACTAATGATTTTTTTCCTTTGAACTTATGTATCTATTTTTGTATAAATTCGTCAATGTTGAAACATTAATTTGTTTTTTTAAACATTCATTGTGTTTTATTTCTGATCGGGATATGTTTTTTTAAATGATTTGAAAAAAATTACAAGTGAAAAATGGAAGAATGTTGCATGTCAGGGACGTTGAAATCAATATTATAAACGCATTTTTTTTCGCTTAAAATTCGAGAAGTAGTTAACTTTATTTATTTCTAATGAAACAGTCTACCCACTAGCAATGATAATCATGAGTTTGGCACGAAGAAAACTATTGAAACATAATTAAAACAGTGAAATTTTCAAATGAAAGAAAAAATGGAAAGCGCGACCGAAATTCGCAAAGGCAAGGCGCTTTCACGACCACAAGGCCACCACCGGAGTGTCGCTCCATGAAATTTTAAGTCGTGGCACATCGACTATACCATGGCAAGAAAAATAATTTCCGCTTTGAAGATAAAGTCAGTTCCTCGAAGTAAAAAAAAACTTTTTTTTTGGGTTTACACGGTGCCCGAAGCACTTTAAATAGCAGCGCAATGTCACTGATAAGTAGCGGAAAATTCATAATGGAAGCTCATTTTTTTTTCATTATGGAAAGAAACGTGCCCGGCCCCTTGTGGATGATTTCTTTGAGGAATTTGACATTCACGTCGGTTTCGATCAATGTGATCGTACTGCTCTTCTCCGCCGCCAATAAAAACAAACAGACTGGTCCATTGCCTCGACCCTGGTCCACATAAACCAGCGCTTCGGTACACTTGACCTTCTCAGATGTGCATTCCGATGGTTTAGCGTCTCCAGACCCGTACGCGTACATGGGCCTCTTTGCAGCAAGATTCTGCAAGTTAAAAAAATCTTCATCGACTGCAGCTTAGAGAAGAGCATTATAGTCTGTTCAGATTTTTTTAATGTCAAGTGCAATGACGTCATTCAAAAAAACAGTCTGTGGATGAATCGCTCTCTGATTGTTTTATCGCACCATTAGGGGCGGAGCTTGAGCGACGACTTGACATTCAAAAATCTGAACAGACTATAACTGCTAATCAGCTGGTATTAAAACCATGATCATGGTATTTTTTTATTTTAAAAATCTCTTCAATTTTTTTGGCATTTCCAACTATAAAGTCCAAACTTTTTATAAAACTACTCATTCAAAAAAACACGGGCTCCTAAGTCCGCAGCAAACGATCGATACTATAGTTCGTTTAGATTTCAAATGTCAAGTCCTAGCTGAAGCTCCGCTCCCCTAATGGCGAGATGAACCAATCAGAGAGCGAGCCACCCACAGAGCGATTTCGAATGACGTCATTCGACTTGACATTCAAAAATCTGAACAGACATATATACTTTATTTAGCGACCAAGATCTACCGTGAAATGACTATAATAATAAAAAGTATAATGTTAAGATTGTCAATACTCATGTGAAAACTTACGGGTAGAATCAGCATAACATGCGTTCAGCAGTGCTATCATAAGCAACATCTTCAGATTGAATCTTCCTGAAACAAAAAAAGATTGAGTTTGAAAAAAAGATGTGAAATAACATACCTTCAATACGATTCCACTTCATTCTTGGTGAAGTGTCCGCTGCTGAAAAAAAGTTTTAATATAATTGAAAAAAATTATATAGTCTGTTCAGATTTTGAATGTCAAGCCGCTAACTCCACCCCCAAGGCTACAATATCTTTCGCGTCAATGTTTTATCTACAGATGACGATGGCCCTTTAATAAGGCTGCATTTTTTGACAGGCGAAGATCTTTGATGAAGGTTCAGCGCTTTACTGAAACATTTTCTGCTGATTTTCAAAAACTAGTCTCTGATAATGTGAAGTCGGCTAAAAACTTCAAAAAAATTTTTTTCATAATTTTTTTGTCCATAAAAAAAGGCGATTTTAGAAAGAAAGTAGCTATCAAACTTATTTGGAAAAGGTTTACTCATGAAATTTTTAATATTCTCATCAGAATTCGTTTAAAAAAATAATGGCAAAAAAAGTTAGCGGCAAAAGGATTCGAACCTTCATCATAGGCTCGCAAACTAACACGCTACCCACTGCACCACGCTCCTAGCTGCCATGCAGAGGCATTCCTTCCAAACGGCGTCACATGGTTAAGGATAAAAACTTTGAAAGATCATATCTCCAAAACAAAAAGTTTGTGCAGGTAGCGACTATGGAGGATCGATTCCCAGTCTATCAAAGATTGTTTGAGCAAATTCATAAAAAAATTCTGAACCCGACGCTAAAATGACATCAAATGTCAGAGGAAAAAATTCACCTTTCTCTTCCGTCTTCTGGACCGTAGCCGTTGTAAGAGTGCCTGTCGGTTTTTTTGTACATTCCTGCGGCAATCTTCTTTATCTGAAAATATGTTTCTTTATCTGAAGGATCGAAAAAAATAAGCCATACAATTCAGTATGCTAAGTTTGGTAGCTTTCAAACTATAAGGATTTCGGGAAACCCTGAAAAACTTCTCTGATTCTACCGAGAATCATAATGATTTAGCTGAACCCCTCGTCGTCATTCAATTTTCGGAAATGCTAGTTTTAATTATTTCGTAACAAGATTGATTTCGAATTATTATTTATTTATTTTTGGTTATTTTTTCAAACAGAAACTCAAAAAAGAAACAAGCTGTCATTCAATCATTGATTAGCCAGCAATCGGCAATTTCTCCATTTTTTTTTGTCAGAAATTTTCGGGAAATGCAGCAAAATGAATTAATTTATAGACAACATGATTCAAAATCAGTTATCATTTGAATAAATCTACGTTTCTGAAGAGAGATGTTTATTGGATATCAATAAATCTTTGAAGACGTACAAGTAAGTCACAATACCTAGGGACCGAAGGCTATTTTTGGAAAAAAAGCCAAAAATGTCTGTTTTTTTCGTTGTGAAACGTAGGATAGATTCTGCTAAACATAATCGCTAATACATTTCATAACTTTCCCATAAATTTAGTTCAAAAAAATTGAAATAAAATTTTTTTGAAAAATCGTGAAAAACTTTCATTTCGAAGGGTTCTATAATTTCCCAAAAGAAATTTCCAACAACTAAAGCAAAAAAACAAAATAAACATCAAATTTTTCAGAAAAAAACTTGAGAAACTTATGATTCGAATATATTCGATTTTTCAAATTTTGAGGTTAAAACGCGCCAATTAGCAGAATGACGCAATCCTACAACAATCCTACAACAATCCTACTCATCAAAAGCTTTCCTAGGAATATGAAGCCTCGAAGAATCCGAAAATCGAGAATTCATTTCGATTTTTTTCAATCGGCAATTTCAAAAAAACTCTAGAAAAATTCGGCAAGATCGGCAATCGATTTTTTTAGATCTACTGATCTGAACTCACCAAAAAGCATGGTCGCGGAGTTGGAGTTCGGGATCTGAGCCTGCTCGAGGGAACTGGTTTGCAATGGCTAGATCAGCTCATCATTCCGCTTATATACTCTCATCCTTGTCCACGTGGCATTTCCACGTGGATAAAAATGAGAAAAAAAAAAGAGAAATTCACGTCAACGTCTACTTTTTCATGATTCGAGATCAGTTCAATGATGGCCACGTAACGAATATTCAATATTCCACATCACAAGAAACTTTTCAAAATTTTTTTTGTGAATCAACTGAAATCCTATCAAAAAAAGTTCAACTAATGACTCAAATTTTTTTTTAAATAGGAAAGTCGGAAATTTGCAATTTCTTCATCACCCCTTTCCAGTTCAGAAGCTTCCTTTTTTTTTCTGATCAACAGAAAATTTCAAAGATTTAGTTGACTTCTCAGGGCTGTGGCGGGAACATATACTTTGCTCCCGCTATGTACCCGTGAGTAAATCGCCTAAAATGCTCAGGTTTTCCCCAATTCGCAACAATTCGAGAGAGAGAGAATCGGTCAAAAGTGCTCATTCCAACCTAAATACATTTTTTTAACACGAATACCGTTGTGTTTATAGTCTGTTTAGATTTTGAATGTCAAGCAGCTAACTCCACCCCCCAAGGCTACAATATCTTTGGCGTCATTGTTTTATCTACAGATGACGATGGCCCTTTAATAAGGATGAATTTTTTTGACTTCTTTTTTTCTATCTTTTAGATCAAAAAAAGATCAAAAATTAGTCCCGCGCAAAAAACATCGACGCGATAAGGTACCGTCTCAGCAGGGGTGGAGTTAGCTGGTTGGCATTCAAAAATCTGAACAGACTATAATTAGAAATCAACTTTTGAATTCTCTGACATGCCTTCCGCACTCTCCTAGATTTTTTTTTTTGAGCTTTCGCCTAGAATTCCTTGCTCTCAGCTTTTTGGAACCGACTCCTCAACTGTACAACGTCTCTTTCTCTCTATCAATCCGGCGAACTAACTCAAATGCCTATAAATCTAGTGCGTATCTTTGTAAAATAATTCAGTGTACATTCTCTTATTCGGTAATTTTTTTTCTCGGCGCACGTTACAAACTCACTTTTTCTAAACAACTCATTGGAAGACTGACAAATGATGATTCATCACAAGCTCTGCGCCTTTGGCGACCTCTCCTTCTCTGACAGCCTGGTAATTTTTAGAACTAAAACGTTTCTTTTTTTTGGCAAAGAATCAAACTTATCTTGGACAGAAAAATTTTTACGTTCAAACATTTTTTTAGTGAGTCATTTTTATACTCTGTTATTGCTGAGACTGTCTCTCCTCGCCGACATCGTGCCTGGCATTTTCAATTCTATCGCCCCCTAAAAGTCGAACTCTCAACGGTAGTCATTTCAAACACCGAAGACTTCGAATTTGATTACTCTCAACTCATTCAGGTGGTTCCTCGGAGCTCTCAGATCAATAAAGTTTAAGAGAATTTAAAAAAAACTCAGTACAAATCGCAAAAAAAAGTGACATTGAGATCCAAATCGGTTCCAAAACTTTCAGGCAAACGGATCCTTTCACGAAGGAACTCTACACCCTAGTCGTCGCTTCATACGACTTCATCCTCGGCGAAGTCTTCCTCCAGAAGCTTCCAAAGTTCTTCCTGGACTATCAAAACAGTCAGTTCCCCTTTGACAACGAACAGCTTCCTTTAGGAAATTACGAAATTGTTCCTAAATGTTTTTTTAACGTAAGTGAATGTTTTTTTCACATCATATTCTTCAAACTGACAAATTTCGAACATTTTAGGAGCTATTATCCGGTTTGCGATTTCAGGATATCCTGAAATCGCAAATTATATAATTGAAAAAAAAACATTTTGAGTATGCGATAGTGCGTCTCGGTGTGCTTACACCCTAAGCATCATAATTTACGAAAAGTCTTGACCTTGCGTAATCACTAAGAATAACTGACGAGATAAACGCGAGGTCGGTGGCGGTACATTGACGAACTCGCAAACATCTCGCTTTTTTCTAGGCGCGCTCTCGCATTTCTCTCGGCGCGACCTCGCATTTTTCTTGGCGCCATCTCGCATTTATCTCGCATTCCGGAAATTTTCAAATTGCGAGAGAAATGCGAGCTCGCGCCTAGAAAAATGCGAGCTCGCGCCCAGAAAAATGCGAGACCGGCGCGAGAAAAAAAGCGAGATGTGAAAGATATTGTAGCCTTGGGGGTGGAGCCTCGAGAGTTTTATCTTCGCAATCCGATCAACAGGACCTACGGCTCGTTCCGCGCAAACGAAATAAAAGTAGTCAGAATAGTGAGGATTTTTAAAATGTATTCGAAAAAGAACGGCAAAAAAACGTTTTGACTTACTCCAATTTATTCAAAAAACTGGACTTTTAAGCTAAAATATCCAGCTTTTTCGTCCAATCGCAATTATCGTTTTGAATTTTGTAGCTTGGGCATGGAGCGTTCGGCGAAGTAGCTCTGGCCAACATCAGTCATCCAGCTTTTTCCCAAGATAAAGCGGCCATAAAAACAGTAGGTTTTTAGAAATCGGATTTATTTAGTGGATACAAAAAAGATCGAAGATCAAATGTGTGAATTGAAAAAATTCTCAAGGCATTATGATAGATTGCCTTAGAAATAGGATGAACTTGTCACTTTATAGAGCATTTTTTCGTGTGTTGAACGGTAGAGAAGTTCTAAATTTCCGAGTAAAATTAATTCAAAGTGAGGAGTACTTTTTGAACTCTTCGGGCTTCGGTAACGTTTCTGAGCACTTCTAGCGATCCCCTTAGCGGTGTTTTCCGAGTTACCCAGGTCCGAGTTCTGTCAGAAATGCAGTTTGCAATAAAACTTGCCCCGGGGAAAAAACAGCGCTATTTTTTGGTTTTTAGGTTCTCAAAGATCATCCAAATAGACGCGAACTCGAGGAAAAATTCATAAGAGAAGGCCGGATTTCGATCCCGCTAGATCAAAAGAACGTCGTGCGGACCTTGGGCTGGTGCTTTGACAGCAAACCGCTCCAGCTGGTGTTTAAATACTGCCCTGGTGAGGTTTCCGAACACATTTCTCCCAATCTCCACCAAAAACTCTGTGAAAAGGATTAGTTAATTTTGAATATTTTACGGAAAATTTTTTCAAACGAAAAAATAGCTTGGGAATCGCCGAGATTATTTGGAACGGGGCATGAATTTTTGACACCCGTTTGAATAACATTCGAAATTCTGAACTTTGGTCTTTCTCCGCCCCAAGCTTTGACAGAAGTCTTGTTCTTTCGAGTCCACAGGACTTTAAGTTTTGATTTAATGACATTTTTTGAAGGTGGCGCCCTCGACTCGTACCTGATAGCCAAGTCGGATCAACTGTCGAATACCGCATTGACCAAGCTGTGTCTTGATGCCGCCAGAGGCCTCACTTACCTCCATGACGTCGGCGTTTTGCACCGCGACATCGCTGCCCGCAATTGTCTCATGGACGCAAAGGGAAATGTATATTTCCATGAAAGCTGCAAAAAATTGACAAACGTTTTCAGGTCAAAATAGCAGATTTTGGCCTTTCCGTGAAGGCATATTACTATGAGATGGTGGTAGCCGAGAATCTACCAACGAGATACCTCGCGCCCGAGTGCCTCGTTCGTTTTTCGTTTAACGCCCAAACGGACATCTTCGCCTTCGGGGTTTTCTTTTTGCTCTTATTGAGGGACTTTCTGGAAACCGGTCAGAATAGTCCTCGATGTCCCAAATGGGAAACCCGAAAGTCAACTGCGAAACTTTCTTTTTATTTGTGATACCCTGACTCGAAATCAAAAAAACTAGACAGTTTTTGCAACTTGAACTTTCCGAGACCTCCACTTGGTACGACTAGCAATATTCTGGGCAGTTTTTCTGAAAGCTTCCAGTCGAAAACTGAAATGATCTCCATTGAGAGATTCTGTGGCTAAATTGAAATCCTTTTACAGCATTTGGTCTGCGAAATCCACAATAAATGCGAAATTCCGTATGCGGGAATGTCGGGCCTTGAAGCCCGCAAAGAGGTTAGTTTTTTTTATTTTTTTCACAAAAATAAAGTCCTTTTTGCAGATTGCCGCCGGAAAAAGTGCTGACCGTCCACAGCAGAGCTCCTGAGGCCCTGCGCCTCTACGTCGCGGACCGTCTCTTCGCTTTCCATCCAATATACAGGCCGGCGATGCATGAAGTATACCCTTTCTTTCAGAGCGCATTTTTCGACGCAAAAAGTCCTGTTTTATCGAACAATTTTATAGGTTGTGGGTTTTTTGAAAAAATTGTTGGACTGGCTCAGAAAGGTTAGAAAATCAAGGCTTATTTTCGAAAATGATTGTTTTTACAGAGACATCCCAATGAGCGCGAAGTGGAGAGGACGGTGGATACAAGTGCGAGATCAGTGCAGCCAAGCTACCCCAAAAAGGTGAAATTTGGGTTCAATCTTTATCATTGTTCATCTTGTCCATTGAAGACCAAAAGGGAGGCGAACATCCTCTTTTTTAATAGAGGAAAAACTTGTTATTTGTTAGGTTACTAGTTAATATGAAAAATAGGGTAGGAAAAAAATGAAAAATTTGATGAAAAAGAAACCGAAAAAAATCATCTTTTTGAGCCAACATCTTTTACAGGATCTCTTTGAGCGCATGGAGCCCAGTTCGGCTGCGCAGTCGCCACCAGTGGACGTCGCTGAATGAAAGACGTCGAGAGAGGAACCGCGTTGAATTGCCGCCTACGAAAAAATAAATGAAAATTGTGTTTGATTGTATTACCTTTTGTGAATTGATTCATGAAGTTATGAATTTATGGCTTTCTAAACATTCTAAGGGGATTGAATCGAAACTTTGGCTAGCACTCGAGAACAATGGAGATTTTGCTGAGCTTCTGATCAAGTCTTCTGATAAAAAGCTCCCTCCTCGAAGAAGTCCAGAAAGAGTTCCGCAGGCCAGAATTGCACGGGAGTGAACCTTTCCAAACGGGATGCGAAATCTGCGCAAAATTTTTTTAATCGACGAGTTGAGGGGAAATGTCCAGCAACTCTGTTTCCGAGTGATCCAGTTGACCTCCAAGCAATCGAAGCGGCCGACGTCGAAACCGATGAAAATTAAAACCTTTTATACACCATTTTTTGGGTTCCTAACCACTTGTTCTCGTTATCTGGTGAATTTTCAGTGTAGTTTCGAAGTTTTTGAATAGGAAAAAGTTCAGAAGCGCGTTTTAATCAAGCATCCTGATTCAGTAGAGCTCAATACTTGCAAAAGACAGAAGAAATAATGAAACCAAAAAGTAATTGAAAAAAAAGTTTCATCATGCTTGGATGTTGTAAATTTTTGTTCCAATTATGTATTGAGAAAATTTTGCGAGATTGGTATAGTCTGTTCAGATTTTGAATGTCAAGCAGCTAACTCCACCCCCCAAGGCTACAATATCTTTCGCGTCAAGGTTTTACCTACAGATGACGATGGCCCTTTAATAAGGCTGCATTTTTTTGACTTGTTTTTTTCTATCTTTTAGATCAAAAAAGATCAAAATTAGTCCCGCGCGAAAAAAACATCGACGCGAAAAGGTACCGTCTCAGCAGGAGCGGAGTTAGCTGGTTGACATTCAAAATCTGAACAGACTATAACAACAAGTGAGGGGAAATCCTGCTCTCAAGAAATTACTAACTGATTTCTTAAACTTTATTCATTTTCAAGTTGACCGCGTTCGCCGAGATGGGGGTCAACTGGATCACTCGGAAAAAAAGTTTTCAGACATTCTTCCTCCACTTACAAGGCCCCAATGCGTCGATTTAAAAAAAAAATCGAGACATTGGGGTTCTTGTACCAGTTATTGATCAAAAACTGCGAAAACCGCCATTGTTTTTTTTCCTTCTGAGAGAACAGTTTTCCCAATCAGTTCTTACCCTAGAAATGTTCATATAGGAACATATTTTTGTTTGAAAAATTGGTTTTTCGAGTGCGAATTTTTGGCATTTTTGAAAAAAACATGAAACTCTAAATACGAAATTCTTAAAAAAATTAGAAGATTTATCCATATTTATATTTATTCTTGGAGAGCTTGATTATAAATTCTGACTAACTTTAGAAAAAAACGTCTGACAGACATCGTAGTTCTGCTGAAGATTTTTCAAATATAATTTTTGAGACCAAAAAGAATCAAGAGAAAAATCATTTTCATAGATATATGTTTTTTTCATAAGGCTTCGTATCTTTGAAAAAAATGTAAAAAAATATTTGCACACAAAGGGGGTCAAACCTACTCAAAACGTCAACCATGAAATTGGCCTCGTCACTGCGCCAGGCCAGCTCGGTGAGAACGATCCAGGCGTGTATTTTTCCGAGAAGCATTTTCTCTGAATCTCATGTTTAACAGATAATCTCTCCTGTTTATTAGAATTCTTACCAAAGGTCTTCAAGTCACCAAAGTTTCAACTCTATCCGCGTAGTTTCCTACTCAGTTAACTTTCAATCGTTTTCTTTGAATATGGCCGCTTTTATTTCGAAAAGTGAGATTTTGGACAAAGTGAGTATTACAGATTTTTATTAAGCACGGCAAGAAGTGATTTTCCAACTTTTAACAATAAATCTTACGACTGCATAAGGAGAAGTTCCTTGTTAGTCAAACATTCTTAAATAACTCACTAAGCCGTTGCTTCTTTATGGAGTGGAAATAGTATTTTTTTTTTTTGAAGCATCCTTATAAAAATAGAAAATTTGTTTTCAATGCTTTGCATACTTTTACTCATATCTAGGGACCGCCAAGGTCCGCCCCCTTCGGGAGTCCCTTTTTTTTTACTCACCAGGTCAGTACTTCGTTTTTTTGCTATTTCAATTGCGCGCACAATCAATTGCGTAATCTTAATTGGGTAGAATAGGGTCGGCCAATATCTTATTTTACACGTCGAATGTGAACTCCATATTGAAAACGCGGAGAAAATTGATTGAAGTAAAATATTTTTGAAAAGGCAACTTTTATATGCTTTTTTCTCTCAAGTTTGTGGCAAACATTGCACATTGAAGTTTTAAAAAGACAAATTTCAAAAAAAAGTTGATAATGAAGTATTTATGCTGTCAAATATGTTTGAACGGTTGGCAGAAATAGAACAAGAAAAAAAACTTCATCGAAACTCCTGAACCACTGGTCGATCGGCGTATCCTCAAAAAAAACTAACGGAGTGCACTTTCAAGTTCAGTCGGGATTTGCACGCGGTCAATCAATAAATAGCATACGGAGGCTAACTTTCTGCTCTTTCGATACCATTTGTGCGCATTCCGATGCTATCCATATGCCATCTGGATTTGAGAGTGCTGACGAAGCTTTAGAAGCATGCTGACGAAGTGCACTCCGATAGCACTCTTACTGCGTACCCTATTTATTGACGGACGATGTGGATACCTCGATTGACCCTTGGAGCGTTAGAGTAAAAAAAACAATAAAAATGAAACCCAAAACGCACTTTTTTTTTTGAAATTCCAGTTTGGTTTCATACGTTGACTGACAACGATTGGACAAAGTGAAACATATAGATGAGCAACTTCTCTATCTTCTGGAAGTCGAAACTCAAAAAATGAAGCTTTTTGAAAATGAGAATTTTTGGGCAATTTCTACAAAGGTCAATCGAGATATCCATTCCGTCAGTCAATAAATAGGATACGCGGTAAGAGTGCTATAGGAGTGTTATCCGGCAGCATACTTCTAAAGCTTCGTCAACACTCTCAAATCCAGAGGGCATAGGTATGGTATCGGAGTGCACACAAAGAGCACTGAAAAAGCAGAAAGTTAGCCTCTGTATATATGCTATTTATTGATTGACCGCGTGCAAATTCCGACTGGACTTGAAAGTGCACTTCGTTAGCTATTTTTGAGGATCCAGCGATTGACCAGTGAAAAAAAGCGGTTCCGAAGGTTCTCCAGAATGGAAAACCCAATTGAAAAAAGGTTTTTTTATGAAGTTGAAAAAGCCATTTTTTTGTGAATTTAATCAGAAATTGCAATGGAGAGTTTCATGATGTTTTGGAAATCGGCTAAAAAAAGTCCTTGACATAGCACGTTTTTGATTCTGATGATTTCAAGCTGCAAAACTTTCTTTTTCGAGAAAGATTTTCTTTAAGTCAAGAAAAACCTATAAAATTTTTGTTGGAATAGGCTATTTTTGAGCCTATTCACAATAACTAGAAGTTTTTTTGCGAGCTAAGATATTCAGGATCTTCCTCTGGTACATCAAAGAATTTCATGAAACCAAAAAACCTTTCCGGCCAGGTATTTTTCTGACTGACTGAATTGCGAGCGAAACTCACTATTTCCAAATGTCCGTTCGATAATTCCAACGCGTCGAGGACATTCAGCGCGTCCTGGACAGTTTCGCACAGTTCTCGGGAAACTCGGGCTAGCCCGTAGGTACTCGAGGCGTCCGTCGGACTTCCGCCGGTCGGAAAAAGTTCGCCGATCACCTCCAAAGATTTGGCCGAGAGCTCATCGGTGAAAAAAATGAGCCGATCTGGATAAAAAAATAAACCCTATACCCAAAGCAGAAAAAAACAAACTTCTAATAAAAATTAGACAAACCGGAGAGGAAATCATTAGAATCAATCAGATTTTTGAATGTCAAGCAGCTAACTCCACCCCCAAGGCTACAATATCTTCGCGTCAATGTTTCATCTACAGATGACGATGGCCCTTTAATAAGGCTGCATTTTTTTGACTTCTTTTTTTCTATCTTTTAGATCAAAAAAGATCAAAAATTAGTCCCGCGCGAAAAAAACATCGACGCGAAAAGGTACCGTCTCAGCAGGGGTGGAGTTAGCTGGTTGACATTCAAAAATCTGAACATACTATATTTCGAAAAAGAGATGCAAAGGGCAAAAAAAGCTATGACACTCAAGTTTGCTCTGAAAGATTTAAAAAAATGTTTGAAAAATTAACTTTGGCTACCACAGCAGGTTTGCCATGAATAAAAAAACATTTCAAAAATAGAATAAAAAAATTAATTGGAAGTTAAAAAGTTTTATACATCTCTCATGTTGGTGGGGTTGACCCGCCGTGCAAATGCGGAACGACGGCGGATGAAAGAAGCAAAAAGAGCAACGGCGCGGCAAAAAAACGGGCGAACGGCGGGGGTAAAAGAGCCTGCGGGGCTTGAAGCGTTGATGCGTATTAGCCCCGCCGTTAACCCGCTGTCAAGGAGTGCGCACAGTTTGCAGAATGACCACCGCAAAAAGGCATAAATGAAACATTTAAAATTTATCTTTTTTTGAAAAAAATATCCTTAAAAGAAGTTGAAGGATTCCTTGGTTCCATATATTTGACTGAGTTCTTTGTTTAATTTGATATTTTTGAGGATCGAAATGAGCAAGCTGGGTGCGTTGCCGAATCGAAGGAAATAAAATTTTGATCTTTTTTGATCTAGAAGATAGAAAAAGAAGTCAAAAATGCAGCCTTATTAAAGGTTCATCGTCATCTGGATATAAAACATTGACGCGAAGGATATTGTAGCCTTGGGGGTGGAGTTAGCTGCTTGACATTTAAAATCTGAACAGACTATATAATTACACTGAGTATCAAACGTTAATAACTTGTTTTTTTCGATCGCCTTGGGCTGTGTACTGTAGATTTCAAATTTCGCGCCAAATTTTTTTTGACGTCTCCCCACCGCGTTTGGGAACACCGTGTTCTCTATAGAACGAAAGGAGTATGGTAAAGTGTTCAACAAAGTCTTCACCATGCAGTGATACATTTTTTTAAAGATACTCTGCCTTCTGAAGGAGGGGAAGTCACAGAAAGAAGTGCATCGACTGATGCTGAAGAGGAGGACGTCAGTCCAGAGGAGAGAGATGGGATCTCCGAAGAAAAAAATTGGAAAAAAACTTGAGGGAAAAAAGAAGAAGATTTCAATGGATGGCGAACTTTGGTTCTGCGATGAAGAACGAAGTAGTAAGTCGATGTTTTTATTTGAAATTTTAGTGCACATTATTTTTTAAGCGCCGGCAATTATAATAACAGTTTAAAAAAAGCAAGACCCCGTTTTTATCCCATTGAACGTTAAAAATTGACGACTATCTTCTATATATTTAAGTGATGCGAATGTAGCGTCAGCAATATCGTCTTCCGGGCGCCCGGACTTAGGGCCTCATTTTTTTGAGAAAAAGGTTTGCGCAGGCTTAGGTCAGGCCAGGCTTCGAAAAATTTTCCCAACTTTCACTGTTAAATGTTGTTAAATTATAGTTTCTGTTGAACTGTGAGTGAATGAACAAGCATAAATTTGACTTCTGTTTTAAAAAAAAAGCTTGATATTCGATTTGAAGAAAATTTGAGCCCGTTCTTTTTTATTTGAGGCCTCTCTAAGGCCAAACGAGGCTTAGATAATGGCCAAGGGCCGATAGGCTCACGTGCCGGTTCCCGTATAGCCCTGATGATGACTACACGGTCTCATTGAAAATTTTTTCGATTTCGGGAATTTTTCACGCGAACGGTAGCCCCTTTCCTTTCGTCGCAGTAAGTATTCACCATCTTGTAGTTTGATTATAGATCATGAAAACAAATGAAAAACTCAGAAAAAGCGAGGTGAGATAGAAATAGTTCGGATTTCCGCGATATGCGTAAAACCAAGTGCGCCCTATTGCGAAGTGTTCACATATAATGGGTGATAATTACCGGCGCTATTATTTCTTAGACAAAAATCAAATTGAAATCGGTGCGTCGGTGATTTTGAAGTACTCTCTTCCGAAAAGTTCTAAAGAGGCAATAAAGAGATTGGTCGAAATCTGTCGACGAGCAGGAAGTTCACAAGTGGTGAAAACAGTCTAAATTATTTCACTTATCGATTTTTTTTTTCTAAAGATTGATGAATGTTTCGAATTAGCTGAAAATGCTGTTAAGAAGTTTGATCCAAAAACATACGTTTTTTGCTCTAAATGTCTCAGGCTGGTGGATGGAGTGGGAGCGTGTCGAAATCCGGATTGTGAAACACAGTTAGTTCTGTTTTCTTCCAAAGTGGAAAGTCTTAAAATAAATATTTAGAGGACAAGTCAAGGACGTGAATGGCCTGGATAGGCTTAAAATACGCTGTTATCACATAAGAAGTCAAATTGAGCTAGTTTTGAAAGAAAACTTAGATTCAATAGTTGCCCATCATCAAAATGTTCATGCGGAGAAGGTTAAAAAAAGGATTAAAAATGACTCAAAAGTTATTTTACAGCGTGACGATTTGAATTTCACGGCTATGGAAGATCTTAGATGGAGTCAACAGTACGCCAACTCTTTGGAAACGAAAGACGAATTTTCCCAAAGGACGCTGAAACTCCAACTGAGTTTTTTTTTCCGACGGCTTCACGCCCGCGAGACGCTGCAAGTGCGTAAAAAGGAAAAATTGATAAAAAAATCATACTTTCATCCCAAAAATTTGCAACCTTGAACTGTTTCAGGACTTTTCGTTGAAAAAAATCTCATTTTTCGAATGTGGTTGTCAAATGAATTTCAAAAAGAGGCATGCAAAAATAGGGTTTTGTTTTTTTGTTTGTTAAAAATTTAATTATCAAGGTTAAAAAGATAATTGCAGTCCTGAAAAAGAACATAAACTTTCCTTTTTATTAAAAAAAGAACCCTATCTAAACGACCGTAATACGAAAAAATCGGAAAATTCGTCGTTCGAAATTTCGCCGATTTTTATTTCATACGAGCGTAAAACAGGTCGAAAGTGATGTATGAGGTTCGAAACATTTTGAAGAAAAATTCGTAGTGAAACGATGAAATAGAAAGGAAAAAAAGGTTCAAATATTTTTAGCACGGAATGTACCCCTGTGTATATGCGAGTCGAGTGTCTTCCTAAAGAAGAAAAAGCGGACCACCGATACATGATTTTTGGCGGCAATAGCCACATCAAGGAAAGCTATGAGCCTAAACGCTTACGATTTGATGTTTGGGAGGTTTAGTTTAGAAAGAAGCGTAAATCGTTGAAGAAAAATAGCATACAGATTGATAAACGAATCGAACACTCTGCAAGCTGGATTTCCGTTCTACCAAAACAATAAGAAGTGGATAATTAAAAATAAATTGGATTATCATGTCAGCGGATTTGAAAGTAAAAAAATTTTCAAAAAAAGTTTGAAATTGTAATTCAGGCCGCACGTACTCTATTCAATGGAGTCCCTAACTGGCAAACTGAGAAAGGATATCCTGTGCCCGGGCACATACAGGACTCTTCCTCGATTTTTTTGAGAGCTTTTTCTCAGAAGCCTATGTGGTTTAGCAGATAATCTCTCTAGTTTTTGATAGTTCTTACTCAAGCCTATAAGCCACCATAGTTTCAACTTGATATGCGTACTCGAGCCCGAGAAGTTCCGTAGTCAGATCTTCATAGTTGGAAAATCACAAAAATTTGCTCGCCCTGAAGTTAAAACATACAGTACCGCTCAAAAGTATATTAAGTTTTTGTTGTTTGAGGATATCTCAGCGAGTACTTATCCGATTTATATATAACTTTCAGGGATTATGTAAAATATACTTTAAAACATATACGGTATACACATACATGTCCGCAGTCACTGCGACGCGTTTTAGGAATTTTTGATTTCAATTTTTGTTTTTATGCTTTTTATTTTTTTATTTATTTTTTTATTAAATGTTTTAAAAAGTAATAATGTTGCCATACGTTTTTCATGTTTTTCAGACATGAGAAGAACCTCTGGGAAAAAAAGATTTGACTGATAACGACAAAAGAGCCATCGTTGTGGGTCGTCAAAAATGGACTGACCATGATGACGTTGGCAGGAATGTTCGGCGTGACAGAGGCTTGCATTTCTCAGTTCCTGAAGCGTCAGAAAGCTCAAGATGGCACTGTTAAGAGCCAACGCACTGAAAGACCACGTGTCATTGATCGTAATGGTGATAGAAACATTTTGAAGACGTCTAGAACCAATCCAAGACTCACCGCCCCTGCGATCAGACGGGAAGTTTTCTCGAATTCGCCATCTCCGCCATCCGTCTCGACCGTGAAACGACGATGCTGCTGGAATCATGGGAAGACGTGCAGTGAAAAAACCGCTGATTTCTGAAAAGAATCGAGTCACCAGGGTGAAGTGGGCGAAGGAGCATCTCAACTGGACCCGTCAAGACTGGAACAAGATTCTGTGGTCCGACGAAAGCAAGTTCCTCCTCTTCGGAAGTGACGGAATTCAGTGAGTTCGTAGACCAATTGGGTCCAGATATCATCCGAAATACCAATTACCCTTTGTGAAACATGGTGGAGGACCGTTTCGTCGGACGACAGAATCTTGTTCCAGTCTTGACGGGTCCAGTTGAGATGCTCCTTCGCCCACTTCACCCTGGTGACTCGATTCTTTTCATAAATCAGCGGTTTTTTCACTGCACGTCTTCCCATGATTCCAGCAGCATTGAGACGTCGTTTCACGGTCGAGACGGATGGCGGAGATGGCGAATTCGAGAAAACTTCCCGTCTGATCGCAGGGGCGGTGAGTCTTGGATTGGTTCTAGACGTCTTCAAAATGTTTCTATCACCATTACGATCAATGACACGTGGTCTTTCAGTGCGTTGGCTCTTAACAGTGCCATCTTGAGCTTTCTGACGCTTCAGGAACTGAGAAATGCACGCCTCTGTCACGCCGAACATTCCTGCCAACGTCATCATGGTCAGTCCATTTTGACGACCCACAACGATGGCTCTTTTGTCGTTATCAGTCAAATCTTTTTTCCCAGAGGTTCTTCTCATGTCTGAAAACATGAAAAAAAACATATGGCAACATTATTACTTTTTAAAACATTTAATAAAAATTAAATAAAAAAATAAAAGCATAAAAAACAAAAAAATTGAATTCAAAAATTCCTAAAAACGCGTCGCAGTGACTGCGGACATGTATGTGTATACCGTATATGTTTTTAAAGTATATTTTACATAATCCCTGAAAGTTATATATAAATCGGATAAGTACTCGCTGAGATATCCTCAAAAAACCAAAACTTAATATACTTTTTGAGCGGTACTGTATGTGAAAAGAAAGCTGATCGCTATCGAAAGCTAGCTGCGAAAAACAGAAAAGAAAAATATGAAAAAAATGAAAAAAAGTTAAGAGCAAAAAGAGTGGCGAAATCAGGGGGAACCATTTTTGTGTAGAAACTTTCGTCAGGGTCGCAGGAGAAGGGGCGTGTTTATAGATACCGGGTGCTTCTTGCTGCGCGTAAATTCACGCCGGAGAAGTTTCGAAAATGTATTAATTTGAGTTTTTTTAAATGAAATATTGGAGTTTTTCATATTGAATACTTTTCCTATTCAATATGGGCCTGCTCTTCGAGAACTCAGACTGCTGAAAAAGCGAGTTTTTGAAGAATATTTCTAATGCATTTCGTAAATAAGAGAACGACCGACGAAATAAGACCATTGCGGAGAAGGAACAGCAAAAAAACCGAATTTTAAAAAAATGCGAAATTTTACATGAAAAATTTACTTAAGAATATGTATATATGAATAATCACTAAGTCATTGTTCAGAGACGATTTGAAAAAGACGCGCGAAAGCGTTTTTACTTTTGATTTTTTTCACATCTTTGATTTTTTTCTTTGAACGATGTGCGTCTACAGGGCGTGTACATGAATATTTGTAAGACCTTTTTTTCATGCTGCTATAATGGATATAATTACGTTGGAAAGAATTTCTAATTGTAAAAAGGAGTAAAAAGTTTTGCCTAAAACGACAATGAAGTAATCATAACTCATTGAAAACTTGAACGAAATACAAAAACAATTTTTAAGAAAAAAATTTTCACGTTTTCGAAAAATTTCTCTAACAAAAGTTGCGGTGCACCCCGTGTCGAACCGGTCATCGGGGTGAACTCTCGTTGAACTCAGCGCACCTGGGTGCAGGCTTGTGCGAGGGCCGGCCCGTCAACCTCTCGGCCCCCACAGCGTTCTAAAACGGGGTTTACGCACTCAGGCACTGGTGCGCGCACGCGCGGGGGTACTGATTCTTTTTTTCGCCTTTTCCACTGAAATAAGTTTTTTTAAATATAATTTTTATATTTTTGTGATATTACCCAGTGCCCCTGCTCACGTTTTAAAGTTGTTCCGAGCACTTTCGAACAAATTTATGAAAAAAAGTTGCCAAGTGAAACTTTTGATATTTCACATTTTTGTGCAATCTAATTGTTATAAACTAGTGCAGAGCAATGTTAAGAGATCAACAGACATGAAAAAAATATTAAATTTATAACTTTTTCAATTAGTTAAAAAAAGCTAAAAAAACAAAAGAGACACCCGCGCGTGCGCGCAGCAGGCGGCGCGCATGCGCACTTTTGGCAACAAACACGCGCCGTCAGTGCCTGAGCAAAAAAGAGGCGCACACTATTCTCAATGGAGCGCGTAACTTGGAGCGTTGTCAATCAAAAATCAAAGTGTTTTTCTTTAATTTACATGCTATTAACTTTTTTTGATTGTTTTTCAAAATCTTTTTTTTGTTTCTATGCATGTAAATTTTTAATTAATGTTTTTAAACGTATTAGAAAATTTTAAAAGTATCCATAGCTCGGTTATGTGTCGAAACGTTGTTTATTAAAAGAAAATACTGTATCCAAGAGATAAAACCGAAAATCGAAATTCCAACTCCAAGAATCGATCAAAATATCAGTTTCCAACTAATAAACAAGAAAAAAAAAGCTGTCAGTGTCCGCGCAAAAGAGAAAAATTTCGACTTGACGAAAAAATTCAAAAGAAGGTGTAATTGGTCTGTACCTAAGAGACAAAAGAGAAAATCGAAATTTCAACTCCAGGAACCGATCACATTATCAGTTTTTCAATTACTTAAACAGGAAAGAAAAAGAATACAAAAATCAAACCTGAGTTTAAAATTTCGACTTTTCGTGAACAGAACAATTATGTAGTCCTTTGAACCAATCAAACCACAAGAAAATAAACTGCGAAATTTCAAGAGAGTTTTAGGAAATGACTAGCAACACTTGGAAACTATAAATGTCAGGAAAAATGCTAGCCTTCAAATAATCAAAAAATCCGGACTCTTAATTACGACGCGAAAAAGACGATTGTTAGCCACGCCCACTCATGCAACGTCCGCATGCTCTTCAGAAAAGGGGCGGGAACCCCGCTTTAGAACGCTGTGCCCCGGCCACTTCCCAAGCCCGGCCCGGCCCTAGGGAGGCCTTAAGCAAAAATGGCCGGCCCGGCCCAAAAAAACTCAAGTTCTCTTCAAGTCGAATTTTTTTCGCTTTTTAAACGAGAAAAAGTGGTATTTTTGCTTATTTTTCCTCATAGCGTTATTAGAAACTATGATTCAATAAGTAAAAATAATTTTTCCTTTAAATTTTTTTCAAATTCTCGGCCCATAGCCCGGGCCGCCCGGCCTGACGCACAAGCCTGCCTGGGTGCACCTCGCGTTGACGTTTTTCGGTGCACCGCAACTTTTTTTAGAGAATTCGGGCCCTTCGCGGTGTCACAGTGCTTCAAAAACGGGCGAGCGCAGGCGAAAAATGGTCGTCGCAATGGGGCGAAAAACGCGAGTTCCTTCTAACGCAACGCGGTGCGGCGCGTGTCAACCTCTTAAAATTTTTATTCAATTTAAATAAAGTTTTTTTCTCTTTTTTTCTTGCGTATAGATTTTTGAATAGTTTTACTTCCTGTTGTGTAATATAACCGTGTTGGATGCGTTTGAGAGGTACTTAAGTTAATTTTTGATCTAGATGGTCCCGAAATTTCGACAAAAAGGACATTTTGAAGAGTAACTTTTTGCAGAAGCTACTTGGTTCATTTTTTGTTTTGAAATGCTCAGTATGAGTTTCTTAAGATAAACGCCCAGACATTTTTCAAAAATCGACGTTTTACAAAACATATGTTGTCTAAAAATGACTTTTTGAGTTATAAATTTTTTGCCGAAACCAATTGATTCTTTTTTTCGTTTTAGAATATTCAGAATGCGTTTTTTGAGGGAACCGTCATGGGTTTTCTCCTTTAAAAATTTTTTTAGGACTTCACGCGACGAATTGTCCTGAAAAAAGGCATTTCGTGTGATAAATCTTTTGGAAAAAGCGATTCCGTTCATATTCCATTCTCAATAGGTTCATTGTGCGCTGGACTATATTAAAATTACTATAAAAGTAGAAGGAGGCCTTGAAAAACACTATTTAACGCTATGTTTTCATCCAGTAAATGCACAAAAATCGGCTCTCAATGTCGCGCCACTATTGCAATAACTCGCGCCCCCATTGCAAACGGCCACGCCCAATGCCCACGTCTGCCGCCTGTTTGGGAACACTGTGAATCACCATGAAACCGTTTTCAAAAACATAAAACAAAACGTTTTCAGAGAAAAAAAAATTTCTCCGTAGAGCGAAACTGATCAGATTCTTCAGCCTTTTGAAAAACGACTATTCAAACTTTAAATCATGACCTTCTTTATGCAAATTATTTCAGAAAGCTTTAAATTTCCGAAAGCTTCGTTTTTCGCGGATTTCTTCACATTTCTACATGAAAAAGTACAACGAGAATCGCGAGATCATCATTCCTTCAAACAAACTTTGAAAAATTCATAAGTTCTTTATCGAATCGAACACCGGTTAGAATTGTCATACACTAAGTTGAGAAAAAAACCACAGGGCTGCAAAAATGAGCAAAAACTGGGCACAGGAAATATACAGAGACGTTCAGAAAAAAGGAGATGTGAAGGATTTGTTAGGGCACAGGGGGACATCAGGCACAGTGAGATGTTTCTTTGGGAGAAAATGAACGACAACTGTTCGAAAAAAGATATTTACAATGGTAAGAAGGCATTTCTCAATCGAAACTAACAGTGAGAACTAATATATAGAGCGGATTTGTACAAGAAAATTGGTTAAACCATAGAAATAAGGTGAAATTATCAGAAGAATCGTCGTTTTGGCTTCTCGCCAACTGGAGCCGCCAACAGCTCCGGATTCTTCACCATGACCCGTGAGATCTGCAAAAAAATGTTATTAAAGGGACATAGCTGCATTGAGAAATGTTCTCGAAAAAGGTTATCAAATTTCCATTTTTTTCAATTTTTTTAATGACCTATTTTTTTGAATCAAAACACAAGCTCAAACTGCATCAAAAAAACATTTTTTTAATGGTCTCGAGACGAGATATAGAACTTATGCGCCTTTTAATAATAAAAATTTCAAGGCGAGCAGAGTCTGAAAAATTTCAATTTATAAGCGCTATTCCATCATTCAAAACCCAGCTAAAAAAACTTCTCAAATAGTCTCAAAACGAGAAAAAATATCCTCTGCGCCTTTAATAAGCGCCAAAAATTGGAAGCATTGGTTATCGATTAAAAAAATAACAAAAATCATGAATGAATTGCGCTATAAAACTAGAAGCTCAAAACAAAAAAAGCCAAAAAAATCTCAACACGATCATTTTTTTCTTATGCGCCTTTAATAAGCGTTCTAAGCTCTTATGGATGGAAAAAAATCATGCGCCAATAAAGCCAAAGCTCACAACTCTGAACTGTATTTCCTCAGTCCTTTTTTCTCGGCTCATTTCGAAAAGTTCGAATCCAAAAAATGCGAAAAAAAAATTTCGACATGATTATTCACTCTACAGCTCCTTTAATAAGCTTTCTAAGCTTCTAAGCTTAAAAAAAAATTTTTCCTTAAAAAATAGTTCCAAGGTCGTAAATTCCGAACTGTACCCCCCTAGACCATTTCCACAGAGTTTCTTCAAAAAAAACCCATATTTCTCCAAGAATCCAGGAAAAAGTGTATTTTCTCCTTGGGTCTAGTAAGCTCGTAAAGGTTCCTTCAGATCTTTGAGAAAATCGACTTATTCCAAGCCGAAACTCACCAAATTGTCCATATACTCCTGCATGTCCTTCATCCGGGAATCCTTGACCTGCAGCTCCAGCTTGAGGCTGTCGATGACCGCCAGAAGGTCCTGGCCGTTCGCGACGTCGAGCTGCTTCTGCTGGAACTGAATTCGGGAGTAGTCGAAGAGGATTTCGAAGGAACCTGATGTTTGGAGGATTCGAATCCGGAAGAGGCGATGCTTCTGATGCTTCCGCCCCGTTGTAAAGATCCGGCTAGGGAAGCCCAAAGTCGGAAAAATAAATATTATTCTCAGCGGCTAATAATTACCGATGGAGAAATGATCCCAGCGGCCAGGCTAGAGCGGGCCGAAGGGGCAGGCGGAATGACACTGGACTTCCTTTCCTGGGGAGCGTAGCCAATGACTGGCGACCTGGCCGGAGACTCGTCGAACGGATTGTACCCGCTGTGAAAATACTTGTATAACTGCCGAGATAAAAGCGATGTCGCTGGCGGCATCGCGAAAGTGACAGGCTTATTTTTTTGGCGGGATCTCGAGTTTTGAAGTTTTGGAGTGCGAGATAAACGCGATGTCGCAATAGGAAATCTGTGATACCGCTAGCGATATCGCTTTTCTCTCGCACCGAAAAAGCAGCTATCTTGTATAAGAGCCGAAAAATAAAGTTCTAACCTATGATTATCGATCGTGTTCTCCGGATTGGCGATTCTAGATGAGCCGTTGAGACAAGACTCGTACATGGCATTGGAGCTGCCGGTCCGGTCAAGATGGGGCGAAGAAAGTCCTGGGGCGGCGAGGAACGTCCCCGGTGGCAGGGTTGTGGATCTGGCAATAATTTGGAGTGGAGTAAGTAAATTTGAAGGCAATAAAAATGCGAAACTGATATTCGGAGCTTGAAAATCAATACATCCGAAAAAAAGTCCCATATTTGACCTGAAAGTATTTTTTTCTCTTTATTTATTAGAGTTACCTAGCCAAATCCCTTAACTTTTTTTCATTTTTTTCAATCTTTGCGATATCGCAAAAGACTCGCGTTTATATTTTCTTTTTTTTTCGTTTTCAAAACTAAAACTTTACACGATATCGCAAAAAACTCGCACGTAGCGCATTTTTTCTAGCCTAATCTCCTACTAACCTATGGTTTTTACCCTTCACACGGCTATTTTCAGAGCTCAAACTTCACGCGATATCGCAAAAAAACTCGCACGTAATAAATTTCTTTCTGGCCTAATCTCCTATTAACTTTCGGTTTTTACCCTTCACGCAACTATTTTTTTAGAGCGCAAACTTCAGGCGATATCGCAAAAAACTCGCACCTAAAAATTTTTTTTCTAGTTCAATCTCCTAATAACTAAAAGTTGTTACCCTTCACACGGCTATTGTCAGAGCTCAAACTTTACACGATACCGCAAAAAACTCGCACGTAATAACTTTTTCCTGGCCTAATCTCCTACTAACCTATTAATTTTGACAAGTCTATGATGTAATGTATGTGAAAAATGTACAGATGAATTATCAAATAATGAATAAATAGGAACAGTTCAAGGGTTAGATTGGATTTACACTATATCTACAATATGGTTATTGCCGTCACACGACTATTGTCAGAGCTCAAACTTCACGCGATATCGCAAAAAACCCGCACTTATTGGATCCGAACGTGCGGTTGATCTTGTCGAAGAACCGGTTGCTCTTGTTGCTCTTGACGCTCATGGCGCTGATGCCACTGGCCATCGACATGGTGTCCTCGGCGTGCTTGTGTTTCGCCATTTTGATCTTCTTCTTGAGGTTGCTCAGGACGCCGCCCTCCTTCTCCACCTTGTTCAGCGACATGCTGGAGACGGAGAGGGTCGGCTTTTCGAAGCTGAACTTGAAGCACAGCTGCACCTCGCCTCTGCAAATATTCACTTGATCTTAGATTTCAGAGGGTTTCGGTAGAGATAGGTGAGAGAGTGGTTTAACCGTTTCTACTTCAAAAAATACCATTCATACTGGAAATTTCTGAGAACTTGCCATTATTTCAAAGACTCTGAAACGATTTTGAATTCAATGACAAATAGAGTCGTAAATGTCTGGCCAACAGAAACTTTTCGACGCACGGAAGCATCCTACATCATGAGAAGAAGCCGTACAGAGTCGGGCGCAGATATGTGGTTAATGAAACCCCATTTTCAACTCAAAAATGCATCTGAACTTCAAAATCGTGGAAAATCTATCATTAGGATCATCCATCAGGGCCAGGAATTCTCTGACATGTCTGCCCTCTCTTTTCTCTCAGCTTGGAAGTCATAGAACATTAAAACAGCAGAAGAGAGCGCAGAGAAATCATAAAAACTTTCAAAAAGCGGGTAAATTGTTTCAAACCAGTTGATTTTTAGAAAATTGAAAAAAGGAGCAAATTTTGAAACTTTTTTCGAAGATTATCCATGGAGCGCACAAGTTCCGCCCTGGACGGCTATTTTTCCTCTTCTTTTTTTGCTATTCTTTGGGAAGACATACTTCAAAAATGTTTCAAAATAGTTGATTTTAACGATTCGGAGCACTTCGATTCATTTTGAGGCGCTCCTTTCTGTCCATTTGATTGATAAAAAAATTGAAATTAAAATTGGTTAAGTTAAAATGGAGAAAAATTTTCGTAGCTGAAAATTCTCACAGTTGTCCATGGAGCCCTTTGCTACACGGTTATTTTCTCTCGTTTTTTTGGAAAAATATATAGAAAGTTATAATTATAATTTGATAATTAATCACTACTTGTTTTTCCACATACATCACAGACTTGTCAAAAAAATAAATAAATAAAAAAACCTATATTTCTCGTCTCCGCTCTTCTTTTTCAACGGGAACCAGGAAGTGCTACCGTATTGCCTAGCATCATGAAGGCTCAGCTCACATTTGCCGATCAAATCTGAATTTTTCATTTTTAAATCTGATGGCTTCAAATTTGAGCTGAAGAAATCTCGAAAATTCTGTTCCATAACTTTGTATACATTTATATTCTTTTCGAAAAAAATTTATTGGCAATTTTTGATTTTTTTAAATCGTTTTTCAGACCTTGTGAAATTCAATAAATAAATTTGTCGCAAAAAAACATTGAATAAGACGAATTCTTTTTCATGAATAAACTGATCCTTTTTTTGCAGTTCGAAAAAATTACTAAATTACACTCAGGGCAAGAAAAAAACTTGATTTTTCACTGCCTTTTTTTGGTCCATCATTATTATTGTTTTTAGGCAGGGTTCCAAATGACAGAAATTTCAAATTTCCCTCTTTTTCGAATTAGTAGTACAAAGAGCTTCACTTTCAAACAGTTTTTTTGTAAAAAAATATAGAAATGAATTTTTTTCTTGCTTAAAAAAACTGGACTTCCAAAAATCAAAAAGCTACAAAAGATAACGTTATATCCGACCATTTACTTCTCAAAAATAGATAATTTTTGAAAAACCCGTTTTTGTAGTATTTAAATTGCATTCCAAGACATTGATTATACAAAAATTTCTAGCTCCATTTAAAAAAATTATTAATTCAAATTTTTGCGTTTTTGACCTTCTTGAAGTTTTTTTAATGAAAAATCACACAATTGTCTCCTAAGACTCCAATTTTTTGGCCTAAAACCTACCTCCGGAGCCGATTTTGCCCTTGTGTTGCACAGAGACGCAAACCGTCGTCCATTTCTCATTCAATTTGCTGGAAATTCCACATTTTCCACAGAAATTGTTGTGAAAAGCTCACAATTCACAAGTTTCGTCCCATAAACAGTCGCCCTGTGTATGTACAAACTCTGTGGCGGCACGACTTCGCAAAGAGCCTTTTCCCTGGAAAAAGGCAAATATTCGGACAAAAAAAAATGGGAGAGAGGAAATCTAAAAAAGAGCCTGCACAAACAAGGATTGAAAACTATCTCAAGCAAGATAGAGTGTTTCTATAGGGATCACTAAAGCTTGCAAAAGTGGTCCCTAAAGGGGTTTTAGTTAGTGGCCGCTCTAGTGGAGCATGCTAGGGGTCCCTAAACGTATTTTTGACTTTCAATAAGGAAAAGGAAAACTAAAAGACCACTATAGGGACCACTCAAGATCTGCCCTAACCCCTCTAGTGGACACTGAGGCGCTCCCAAGATACGCAGAAAAAAAAGGTTTAAAATCGATAATTTCTTTTGAAACGATGCTCCAAAGGACGGTCATCTTCTACTCCAATCTGCTACCTTTTGGATTGATAACCTGCTTTTCTTTAAAAAAAAATAAAAGCCAGTAAAAAATTTTAATTGGAGCATCTTTTCCAAATATCTTGTTACTTTCCCTATCTCAAAAAGAAGAAATTTTTCAATTAAAATGGCTGTCATCTGGAGCCTCGTTACAAAAAAACTCCAACGACACTACAAATTACAGTTTTTTTCTCGATTTTTCTATTTAGGTTTGCAAGAAAAATCAGAAAAAACGCAAAACTTCAGTAGTTCTTTCATTGGAGCATCGTTCGAAATGAAAAAAATCTTTGAAAAATCAAAAATTAAAACAAACCTGTAAAGTAATCGTGGCATAAGCTTCTGTTTCAGTTTTATTCTTCAAATAGAGCCCTCTAGCGGATCCGACTGAAAAAAATTCAGAAAAAAATTTGAGAACTCCAGGACAGTAATAGCTACTGTAGGATTTTTAATCAATTTTTATTTTTTTGCTCAAAAAAATCTTTTTTTAAAACCGAAAAAAATCGAATAATAAAAAAAGCTAGATTTGGTACTTATTCTTAAATTTCTGCACAAAAATTATTTTTTTCATTTTTGGATTCAAAAATCAACTATAATATACTATAACTCTACTTTGCACCTATTTTTGCTCAGAATTTTTTTCGAGCCTGAAATTCAGCTATTAAAAATACTATGACTCCTCGTCATAGATATTTTTTTGCTCAAAAAAACATTTTTCACTTTTTAAACTTTAAAAACGAACCTGTAACTAGTAGCGTATTTGGCTCCATAGAAAAAAATAATCTGGAAATTCCTGAAAGAAATGTTGCTCTGATGCAAAAAAATTACGAGAAAAAGTAAGAAGTGGTTAAAAAAACCAAACGAAAAAGAATCAATATGAAGGTTAAAAACATTTTTTTCATTTTTTTCTCAAGAAACAACAAGTAAAAATCAACAACAGAACAATTCAACAACGCAATGAGGTGTAGAAAAAAAGGGAGAAAGGTTGGGGAAATCGAGAAGAAATATGATGATAACGACCTTTTTTTATCACAAAAAAATGGCGTGGGCGCAGGAACGGACGCAAATAGAAGACCTACAGGTGAGAAAGTCAGGTTGTGGCGCGAGGGAAGGAAAAAGGTTTGAGAAATGTGATCGATATATCAAAAAAACGAATGGGTTCTTCTCGGTTTTGTAGGTCAAATTGGGGGGCGAAAAAAAGGATCATTATTCCATTTCTGGTCATAAAAGAGACAATTTCTCAATTTTTGGAGTAGGATTTTATTTTCTCATTTCTTTCTTTTTCTTTCAAGAAAAAAAATGGAATATACTTGGAAAAACTTTATTTTCGATTTTCGTGCCAAAAAGATAACCATTTCTCAATATTCTATCGAAAAAAAGTTGAATGTCCTTCCAAAAATTGTCTCTTCATACCATTTCTTCAATCTTCTCTATAGTACTTAAAAAAATTTTCTTTTAATTTTTTTAAAAAAGCGAAGGTAAAAAGTCAAAAAAACAACCAATAAGTTTCCGTAAGCTTCCGTATGCCTACCGTAAGCTTTCGTAAGGCTACCGTAAGCTTCAAGGCTACCGTAAGCTTCAAGGCTACCGTAAGCTTTAAGGCTATCTTAAGCTTCAAAAATCAATCTTCACAAAGAAAAAAAACCAATAAGCTTCCGTAAACTAGCGTAAGGCTACTGTAAGATTCAAGGCTACCGTAAGCTTCGAAAATAGAGCTGCAAAAAGTAATGATTCCCATTTTTCATATTCATCTAGATTCTCTGCGCTCTCTTCACTCTCATTTTGGCTTTTTTTGTCGGTGAGAGAAAAGAGAGCGCAGACAGGACATACTGGTAAAATAGGCAAATTTTTGAAAAAGTGAAAAAAAGTCGCTTGCTACAAAAAAAGAACATGAAAAGGTTCAAATCAGAAGGAAAATTAAAGAAGGAGTGAAATGGAAAACGATCAAAACAAGAGAAAATCGCGAAATTCTCAATCCTCATCGCTATCCTCGTCGTCGTCGAACGTCGCCACGTCCCCATTCTTCCGTTGTTCCTCACTTTCGGCCTCATTTGCGTTCCTCACCGGGATAACCACCACACGATTTCTCGCCTCTTTGTCCACCTGAACACCGGAAAAATCTTCAAAAGTGCAAAAAAATTCGAAAAAAACGACTAAAAATTCAAAAACCGTGAAAACGGAAGCTTTCATTCCATTCAACTTCAGAAATTTCCAGAAAAATTTTTCAATTGTTCTTTTTTTCAATTAGAAACCTACAAAAAAACAGTGTGATACCTAAAAAAATCGGTTTTTGATTTAAAATTGAAGATTTCAGAAGCTTATCTCTGAAAAAGTTTCGAAAATCATCCTAAAAACTTGAAAAACTTAAAAAGTCAAAAAAATATTAAAAATCTCATGGACAAATTTTGAAGTTTTTCGTAGAAAAAACCTTCTTAAACTTTTTCAGATTTTCGATAACTTTGGAAAAACTTCCAAAATCTGTTGGGAAAAAAAGAAAGGAAAAAAACAAGAAAATGAGTGAAAAAAAGAGAGGAATCTCCTTATTTTTTTAAACCCAAGGATTCAAAAAAATTTCTTTCTTATAAATATAGAAAAAACTTTTTTTGCGAAAAATCCTGAACGAAGAAATTAAAAATCTTCATATAAACCCCTCAAAAGCATTTTTTTCTAGCTTCTAGATGACGTTTTGAAAATTCGATAGTTGTTGAAAAACAAAAAAAAAGAAGAAGAAGAAAAAAATATGAACACCGAGCATCTGGAATCACACGATATTACACATTTCGTATTGCTCGGAACAGAAAAAAAACGACATTTTTTGGGAAACGAAGAACAAATTAGAAGAAAAAGAGGAGGAATTGACTCACCCACCACCTGCCGTCCTTGTGTTCTTGACCAACAGCCAAGGCCAGCCATTTGCCGTCGTTTGAGAATGATAATCCATTGATGAAACCGTCCTTTAAATAGGGTATTTTTCAACAATCAATAAAATCGGAAAATTGTGAAAAAGGGCAAGTTTCGCTCAATATGAACTGTTGCGTCAAAAAAGATACAAAAAAAATATGATTTGACGAAAATTTTGATCCGCAAAAATACGTGAGCGTGTCACACAGCCTAGTGACACTAAAATCGTAAACCTTCAAGAAAACTCCTTTAAGATTTGAAATTGCTTGCACCCAAGGTTTCCACTTTCTATAATATCTATTTTTTTCTTTGTTCTATCTCTCAAATCAACCTTCAAAAACAGTATGAAACAGGGAAAAACATATTTTCAATGTTTGAAGATTAATTTTCAAAATTTCAGCAAAATTTCATCTGTAAAAATCAATCAGTTTCATTTTCTAACGAAGAAAAAGATCCAAAATCGAATTTCCAATTTATTTTACAGTTTTGTGAAAAATTTATGTGCTCGGCTCAAATTCACACAATTCTGAATAAACGAAGAAAAGGCCTACAAGTTTATTATAGAAAATACGAGCAATTTTGCCTACTAACCGAAAAAGCCATAAAATGATTTTTTTTCTCAATTTTTTTCGGGACAAAATCTCAACATTTCTGTACAAAGTTATAACATAACCAAGAGTTAAAAAAACGGAATCTTTTGAAAAAAACTTCTATCGTTAACCCTTTAAAAATTCCCTTTTCTGGACTTTTCGGGACAAGATCTCGACATTTCTGAACGAAGTTACAGTACTGGCCATAAAGGTATTTCAAAGTGGTTATTCGAGCATAACTTCTCTGAAAGTGGCTCAAATGACTTGAAACTTTGCAAAAATTTCAAATAGCTACGCAGTAACTTTTTCCCAAAAAAAGAACTCATTTGCTCAAGTCAGACCGGATTTGGGAGCAAAAAACCAAAAATCGTGAGAATCAAGATTTTTCTCTTGAGATTCGAAAAATCATATCTTCAAAGAAACTTCGTTTTCGAACCAGAAACTTTTTTTCCCCAGTAAAACAAGTCTTCGGCTTTCCGAAAAACCTAATCAGCCCCTCACCAACCCGATAGTAAGAGCGTAGTGACTTTTTTTCTTCGGAAGGCCTTTTGCGTTTTGACGCCTCGTACATTCAAAATGGACTATACGAGGGTCATTTTTGTTTGAGAACACCCTGTATCATGTTGAAAAACTTTGAAAAACCTTCAAAAATAGTTTAACACTGATTTCTTCAGCTTTCTCACTTTATCTGCTTTCCAGAACTCACTAGCTTTACTAGGACCGATTTTGAAACCTCTGATTTGAACAGTTTTTTTGAACTTTCGGGCGTTCAAAGTAGTTTATATCTGAACAATCGCTTTTCAATCGTGAATTTGAAAATAAATATTGGCTAAATTGCAGGCTCTTAGTTCCTGAAGACTGCTAATTTTTTTGCTAAAGCATTAGTTTCACAAGATCAAAAACTTATTTTCACATAAAATTTAAAGAAACTTTATACAGTGCCTATCTTTGATTTGAGAGCTAGAAAGAGGAGTTACAAATTTATCTCATGATCTAAAACATTTTAAAATATGAAAAAAAGGGGTTTTTATCATCTTCCACAAGATTTGGAGCCCTCTAAGCAACACTTGCTGAAGCGAAGTTTTGAGAACTTTAAGAAACTCAGTAAAACTCACTGTATCTTTTGAATAGGTAAGCAAAACACAGTGGGTCTTCTTTTATTTTCATTCATCAAGGTTCTAAAAAAGCTCTGAAATCTGAATGGAGAAATCGAGAATTTTCTGATTTTAAAAAAGGAGCATAACCGCTTCAAATCAGAGATTTCAAAATCGGTCCTAGTAAAGTTAGTGAGTTCTGGAGAGCAGAGAAAGTGAGAAAGCTGAAGAAATCAGTGTTGAACTATTTTTGAGGGTGTTTCAAAGTTTTTCAACATGATACAGGGTGTTCTCAAACAAAAATGCCCTTTGTATAGACCATTTGAATGAGGAGGCGTCAAAACGCAAGGGCCTTCCGAAGAAAAAGTCACTACGCTCTTACTATCGGGTTGGTGAGGGGCTGATTAGGTTTTTTGGAAAGCCGAAGACTTGTTTTACTGGGGAAAAAAGTTTCTGGTTCGAAAACGAAGTTTCTTTGAAGATATGATTTTTCGAATCTCAAGAGAAAAAAATCTTGATTTTCACGATTTTTTTGGTTTTTTTGCTCCCAAATCCGGTCTGACTTGAGCAAATAAGTTCTTTTCGGGAAAAAAGTTACTGCGTAGCTATTTGAAATTTTCGCAAAGTTTCAAGTCATTTGAGCCACTTTCAGAGAAGTTATGCTCGAATAACCACTTTGAAATACCTTTATGGCCAGTACTGTATAATTGAACTAACTTGAAAAAATGGTACTTTTTCGAAAAGAGATTTTCTACCCTTGGCGTTTCCAAAAATTCGCTTTTCTGGCCTTTCTCGGGACCAAGAAGCTTCATTTCTTCCCTCTCCCTTTTTAAACTCCTAAAAAGACTCCC